GGCTAGAATAACTGTAAATTACATTGTAATTAAGTCAAAGGAATATTGGCAGGAAACACTGGAAACCACTTCAGTATACCCTTACAGCACAAGCAATGGAAACTCTTCATGTTTAATTGCTAAAATATTGGTTTGAAATCCCAAGAGGTTTTCACTTAGCTGATTCAACACCTCTCCAAAAGAGGGAAAAACATAGTTAGGATTTCAAGTTTCCTCACTGAAATAGTGCTAACATTAATTGGCACACAGATTCCATCTTATTATTGATCAAAGTTTATTAATTGGATGTCAGAATTTAATTTCAGCAATATAAAGAGTCATTGGGGCATATGATTAGGAAATACTACCATTCCAAATCACATCTGATCACAAATGTGTCTGGTTGCCAGGATTTGATTTTAAGAAATATTATTATTATTTTTTTTTTATTATACTAGAGGAAATGAATCACATATGAAGTTAACCATCTTTGAAAATTTAAAGGAAGTCTTTCACAATCTCTAAACATTTCGTGGCAATAGAATTTATTAAATTATACAATTTTTTGCCTTCCTGCGCCTCAAAAGAGGTGTTGCCTATATTTCCATGGAGTTGAAACAATATAATATCAGCTGTCCTGTAATTTGTATCTGACAAGATCCTAAGAGGATTTTGATTACTGTGTTGGCGAAATAGTAAAAACAAACCCAAAAACAGAGACTTCAACTGTTTTGTTCGCTAGATTTCAAGATGGCCACCTTTGTCTCTGATTGGCTGAGACATTCAGAACATCCTTACAGGTAGTTTTGACACAACAGTTTTTATGAATAAAGATTATTTGTATCAATATAAGGAATCTGACTGGCTTTGAATGATGCATTTAGATGAAATTATTTTAAGAAAGAACTTTAATACAGTGTAGAGTTTTCAAAGAAGATTACATGAATCTAGTAAGACAGTAGCCGCCTGTCCATCTCATACCACTTTCAGGGTGAAGTGGTTCCTTGAGCTGGATATAAGGCAGACATATAAATGAGTCAGTTGTTGGCTAGCAGATGTGGTCAGGTCTGATGACAAACTGAAAATGATAAAGTGTCTTTGAAGGATCCATGTTATACAGTTAAATTGTTTACACAGGTTGTACTACACAACAGTTCAGAAACATTACAATAGATTTAGCATCCCTTGCTAAATGTGATTATCAAGGACCAGTGGGAGCGTATGATAATGACGATTGGCTAAAGTGGTGGTCTCTATCTGTGTCCTTTTTTCATTTCGTGATGATACCACATGGAAAAGTACAATATCATTATTTTATACAGTTCTCCCAAAGCTCTAGGAAAAAACGACACCTTGGTTCATGGGAGCTGTTTCAGAAGTGTGCTTTTGTGTTTATGTCACTCGTGCTGATAAATATCTGATGAAAAATTTGCTTCCAGTACGTCTAATAATGACATTTGTTGTTATTTTGCGATGAAACACCTCTCTGCAATGTAAATAATACACTTTGGCCATTATCAGAATTAAAAATAATGGATTGTTCAGTTGGTGCCTGTTTTGGTGTGTAGCGATGTCAAAAGGCCACACGATGGTCCTTCCTGGCATTTTAGTAATGGCTAATAGTACAGAGTACTTTATTCTGATGAAATGTAACACTCTGAAATTCATGATATTGTTCATCAGATTTTAGACCATATCATTTCATTTCATCGTAGTTGGAACACAGACCTTCATGCCTTTTATTAATAACAGAATAATGCATTTATATTTATCGTATTATCAAATTTGCTATTCAGCGAAAGGGGCAGACGTTTTAATTTCTTCCAAAATTAGATTGCATGCTAATTGCAGAGCAGTAAAATAAACACAACATAAAAAATACCAACATGTTAACAAAATCTTAATTCAAACATAAGTTTCATGAAACAGTATCTTAATTCAAAAACAAAATCCATGGGCAAAATATGAACAAAAGAAAAATTTACATGGAGAGTCCTGTAAATTTACATGGAGAATAAGACCAGGTGTTCCTGAAGATTAAGCATATTATGCTTCATTGATGACACCCAGCATGTAAACCTTGGTCAATCCAAGTAAGTAATGCCATGTTTCTGAAAAAGATCATGGTAAACAACAAGTAAAGCACCAGGCAAACTAACAAACATCAAGCATCCAGCTTCATTTATATCACATATAATATATTTATATAAAGCATTTATTTGTAATTCTTTTGATTATCAAGATATAAACACAGGATCTTGCATATCAAAAGCAAGCTAAAATGAAAAAGCAAATATCGTGACAAGTTTCATAAATCTTATATTAAATGGAGACAAATTTAAGAACCTTTTATTCTATGATAAATTTGTCCTTGTCAAAAAGTTATATCCTCACAATGCCGTCAGTGAATGTGTGACATTATTTCATGAGCTAAAGTGATGCTATGATAACATATAGTACACATATGTAATATGCAAAAACATGAAATAGGTATATTTACTGAATAACAAGGCAATCATGATATATATAGATATATGCTAATTGCCAGGGTTTATTATATTTAATCACACAGATGTAAGAGCTTTGTTCATAAATATTTCTTTGGTAACCTAATAATGATGTCAATCTGTTTCTCTTATCACATGACCTCTATAATAATAAGTATATCATGTAAACTATGTCCTGATGATCAACAGCCTACCTAATAAGGTCAGAATATATCAACAGTCAGCCCTAATTTAAAGTTAGTCTCAGGAATGGTTACTCATCCTTTTAGGTCATCAAACCCAAAGGACCCGAAAGGGCAATTTAGAGGGGCCCTGAAAGGTCAAGCTAACTGGAATTTGGCTAAAAAACTTGATGCAGTTTTGGAAGATGGCAGGTCGATAAAAGATCATTTTATAAATAGGAAGTGTTTTGGTCTCTTTAAAGATCTATATATCAGTGTTTAACTGTGCAGTCATACACTTCATCGACTTTCAGAGTTTGACTGGATCAGACTGAGGTGTTTACCAACAAAGTGTCAATGGAGAGGCATTTACTTAAACCCTTGGAGACTTAAAACAGCATAGCAATCTCACTTAATTGACAGTAATCAATTCAGCACACTCCCATCCCTGTATCACAGGAGCAGACGGTCGAGAAAACTGTTCACCAAGGATCAGCCTTGCATGTCATTGTTGATTACGTTTTGAAGTAAAACTATTTCCGTGGTGCCGAGGGAATAATTTCCATACATGTTTTAACTGTTTAATAAAGAAAGGAAACTTTCCTTCTCAGTTCTTTTTTCTTTTTGTTTTTTTTCTTTTATTTTTAAAAAAAATGTAAAAATTAGGTGATTAGGGTTTTGGAGGATTTTTTTTCTGGGAGTAGATAATTAAGATTTAAATCAATAGATACTCACCTGCACTACAACCATTTTTGTGTGTAATAGGGATCATGTAAAGATTTTGGTAGAGTAGGAGAAAACACAAGAGTTATACAGCAGTAAGGTTTATCTAAAGAGATGTAGTTATTGATTTGGGAACTCCAGCTCATCAATAGGTTTAAGGAGTTCATGTTGTCCTCATGGGAGCCAACAGAATATGTAAACAAAAATAAAATATCTTGTAGCTACTTATAATTTCTGTTTAATTTCTGATTTCACTACCATCAGGAAAAATATTTGTAACTGTTAATTTTCATATGAAAGAGGGATAAACATTCCCTTACCTGGTAACCCTTTACATGAGAAAAGTCAACAGACTGAATGCTGAATTTAATGAATAAATGTTTTGTCAATTTTTTTTAAAATTACAAAATAATGGTATTGTAGTGAATTTGTTGCTCTAGATAAGATTCCTTGTCAGAATAAATGATCAGACTATTAGCTTTACTTATCGCCTACAAAGCAAGGAGTGTTTTTACAGTATTACAGTCTTGGTAATGATGGAATATTATCACTGTTAAACCTACAAGTAAAACCCATACCAACATCAGCGATCTTTCTATACATTATTTTTCATCTTCAAAAGAGAAATAAGAAAAAAAATTAATAGTGTTTGTTTAAAAGGTATTTCTATAATGTATGTATCAACTCTGATACTTAAACATTCCAAACAATAACTATACAGAACAGCATGTAGTTATTAGCTACTGTAGGATGGGGAAAGTTATGTTAAAGTTTACTGTGATGGGGAAAGTTATGTTAAAGTTTACTGTGATGGGGAAAGTTATGTTAAAATTTACTGTGATGGGGAAAGTTATGTTAAAGTTTACTGTGGGTGAAAGGATCTCATAGGGAGTTATAAATAAAGCATAGCAGGCTGCCAGATTAGGGTACAAATTAAAAGCAGAATTCTGGAATAGAGGAGACAAGGCTAGTCTACATGATATTTTCAGACTTGCTACCCTAAGTCAGTACAATGATCACACACTTGCTACTCAGTGGTGTCTTTGAAGAAAGGATTTACAAAATGGCTCAAAGTGTTTGGGTTTAAACATTTGGTTTTTCAGCCTATTCTTAAAATGTCTGCCTTTCCTTTTAATCTTCCTGTTGCAAATTAATCTAGTCAACGTAAGTACACAGATGACATTTTCATCCAATTTATTTGGACTGAAAGAGTTTATACAGGGAAAAAGAAATAGGGTATTAATTTAGAAATCTTGGAAGCAAGTTTCTCCATGGAAACTGAAAAAGAATAAAAAATAGACTGATTAAAATGTGAACAATGAATACCAACAAATGTTTGCAAACACTTTATTTTCATGATGTTTGTGTAGCAAAACAGTCATGAAAGTTAATTGCTGCAAACATGTAAACTTTATAACACAATTAATCAATGACTTAAGATTCGCAAAAGTGCATGGCCATGATGTTGTTGTCGTCGTAAAATCAGGAAGAGTAAACAGCCTTTAACAAATCAGTTTACTGTGATGCTTCCCTCCTCTTTTGCCAAAATATGTTGTGCTGGAAGAAGGTCACAAGGTTATGTCAGGCTGTCTGTGACTTTTGACTGACAAATTTTATTTTCTATTTTCAGGGCAAACCATTAACAGCGTTATGTTGGGGCCATAATGACAAGCGCCTCTTTTTGGCCTCTGGTTTCAACCTGCATGTAGCATGGGTTACCAAGCAAGTGGCACCGCTTCAGTTTCTATGTCAGCGGATCATCCAGGACAACATTGCACAAGAACGAAAAGTCAGCAAGCTACCTCTGCCATCTCGTATACGACACAGTATTCAGTCTCTTTTCTCACCCACTATAAAGGTACCTGATAGCATTATATAGTCAAACCTGTCTATAAAGGCCACTTATAAAAGGAAGCAGAAAATACTGATATTACAAGGCAGGTTACCTTTATATAGAGGTTCTGTTACATACTATGAATTGTATAGCATCTGGAATCAGAACCAGTGGTCTTTAAAGACAGGTGGCCTTCATATAGAGGTTCAGTTACAAGGAATTGTATTACATTGGAATGGGTTTTTTTTTGTAGACAAGTCTTTACAGCAGGTTTGACTGTAAAAGTTAGGTAAATTGATTGCATTGCATTCTTTATATAGATCGTTGTTTGTCTTTGAAATATCCTGCTGTTTAAGGCAGTAACTATCTTTTAAGATTAAAGGGTCATATGTTACCTTATTATTGCATCTCCTTTTCACGAGAGCTATAGCAATTTTAAACTTTGAATTATTTTTATACCAATAATTACCAGGCATTTTATAGGCACTAAAAAATTTGGAATGAAACCTCTCAGGAATGGATGGCATCAGTTTTTTGTAACATAGATAACTCTAGCATAACCTTATGTGACTTTGATGGAGAGTCTGACTCATAAAATCTCATATCTCGATCTTGACAGACTGTACTAGCAGATATGAAATCCATTAAATAAATTAATTAATTAAAATGGATTAAAATAGATAATTGAACAAATAATTTTAATTCTCCATTTTACATTTAATCTTAGAATATACATGCCTCGACATGGCTCTGTGATATTGTCATGTTTTGAAAAAAAAAAAAATTTCTCTCCATTTCACAATAAAATGACTCTGTGGCATTGTCATGTCGGTAAGATGGACATTGTTAAGAGTTTTTACTAAATGATTAATAAGTATATTGTCTTGTCCATTCACCTTGTCGTGAATGCATGTTATATTTAAGTAAATGATGGTGATACTTCATATACTCCACAAATGAATGTCAGTTCTCTGACAGTAGGATGATCAATCCCATACTATAGCGTTCCAACATTGGATATGAATGCTTCTGTGGGTTGTCAGAATCCAGTCGATTCAAAGTCCTATCGTTTCAATGCTCAGACTCTGTGCACTATAAGAACTATTTGTAGTATTTCAGAAATCCTGATTAATATACCACAATCTGGATAGGACTGAGCTTTAACAAAATGACTTCATTCTGTCTGTGGTCATGCCGTGCCATTTTCTCTATAACGAAATATTCGCTATACACCGTTTAAATAAAACCTATGTACCTATATATTACCTTCAGCTTTTGGAAAATGACTTCACAAAAAATGGAACACTCATCAAAGTTGATGTTTTTATATGAGAGTTTTTTCTCCCAGAGAGCTGAATAGTTTGCTGGTTACAAAGAAGCTTACTCTTCTTTACTCCAAGGACACGGAAGTAAAAAAAATAGTGAAAAGTTGAAAGATTATTCTTCAGAAGTAATGAGATATTTTAGAAGTCTGTTTCCTTCAAGTATTTAAATTCCTTTGTTATTCTGAACATGATGGTGTACTTCCTCGTCAAATATCTTAGGGTTTTCTCAGAAAACTAATAAGCTTATAGATACTATGACAATTTCCATCAATGTCATATGATATGAGGGATAAGAACATATGTCTTGTGTCTAGTCAGTGTTCAATGATTTGATTTCATTTCAGTAATAATTACCATAACTTTAGTATGCAAATACAGTACCTACACCCATCTTTGTATCCCAACAACAAAAGATTCAAAAGAAAAACAATCCCGCCCTCCCTACGATCCATGAGCCATCACGGCAGGAACGCAGAGTGATCTCCCTTCCTCTTACCTTTATGGCTGCCGACGAGTGCGGAGGTGTCTGAGCTAAGTGCTTTTCTTACTCCTTCTCTTCGTACTGCCATTGTCGTTTGAGTATATTGTTACTCTATTAGTAGTCTATAAACCCATCTCCCAACTTATATTGTGAAATTAAGTATTGTCATTTGTTTATTTTGACCGTATTTCCGGCCGTTTTTTCCTCCACGTATTCGAGTGCGTGACTACTTGTCTCGTTGCTCGGATTTGCGTGAAGTTGGAATTTGTTTTCTTGCTGCTTTGTCGGCCGTGTTGTACGGCCGTTTTATTTATGCAGTGCAATCTTGCTGCGTACGGTAGGCTTTGTGCTCTCGTTCGTAGTTTTTTGATTGTTCGAGAACTTCGTTTCCGGCCGTGTTTTTACTCCGCGTGTTCGAGTGAGTGACTACTTGTCTCGTCACTCGGATTTTCGTGAAGTTGAAATTGTTTTCTTGCTGCTTTGTCGGCCGTTTTGTACGACCGTTTTCTTTTTTTGCAGTACAATCTTGCTGCGTACGGTAGGTTTTATGATCTCGTTCGTAGTTTTTTGATTGTTAGAAAACTTTTTATCCTTGTTTTCATTGTTACAATTTTTTATTGTTTCGATGCTGGATAAAGGTGCCGGGTTTACGTCGGGGGTCAGCGCATGGATGTTCCTATTTCTATAGATAATGGGAACCCCATGATACCTGTCCCATTTGCCGACATTACAGCCAGACCTCACTATGTGAACTTTGTTTGCACATGGAGTCTGCTGCTTAGGCTCCCATGCCTTTCCAGCTAACTTTCCGCCGGAAGAGGGATTCGTCCTCTTCTTCCGGTAAGGGAAGTAAGCTTTTTAAGACCTCCCTCCTGAAGTTCTGAACCAGAGCGTTCCTGCTGGGGGTGCTCTCGTTCCACCGAGCTCCGCCCTTCAGCAGGGGGTGGCTCCCCCTGTCCAGGTGCGTCCTGGAGTAGGGGGGGGGCAGCCCGACCCTGACTCGGCGCAGTCAAGGGTCGAATTGGCCGGTAGCTCTCGATAGGCGGCGGTGTTACCGTCGGAAAGGGACTTCCGGTCGAGGTCTCTGATTCCTTCAGGGACCTCGGCACGACAGGTGGCGTCGTTGGTGGGGGCCGCTTTGACTCCGGAACTGTGCCTTCGGGTATAGGTTCAGGGGCCACAGACTTTTTGTCAGGATTGTCTGTGGCTACGGGGATTAGTGACACTTGAGTTCACTAATCCTGGTGTCAGCGCGGGGTCTGTTTTCCCACCCTCACAGGCTTCTGGCTCTGGGACTTCCGTCCCAATCCAGATTTCCCAGTGCAGGGTTTCCCAGGGGGTTTTCCTCCAAGGGTTTGGGGCTTCAGGCCAGGAGTCCGGTTTCCGGTCTCCCTTTCCCCCGGGCTCAGGGAGTAGGGGTGCCTGCGGGCACTTATTCCTGGGTCGCCCAGGCCAACCTGCGGATGGTTTTGGGTACCAACAGTTACTCAGCAGTTACGGGCTTAGCCTGTACATGTCTGGGTTTCCACCTGGTGGGAGTGGCGGTTCATCCTGGTCCTTTGGACAGGATGTCCAGCCCCAGACTCAGGCAGGCCATCTTGGCCAGTTCTGGGGTCACTCCCGGCCCGCTGGACCGTTCCCATTCCCTCAGGGGTTTGGGTTTTTACCCCATGGGTCTTCACTCGTGGAACCCATAGGGGTTGGTCTCTCCTCTAGGAGATGTTATAGCAGTGCGGAATCCCCCCAATGTTCTGCTGCTTCGGGGGCCTTGTTGGCCGGTCCTATAAAGGTTTGCCAGACCTTAAGGACTTCCGCCTCCAGCGCGGACCCGTCGGTCTCCTGTTCCCAGGGGTCGGCTTCGGGTCTCCGACCCAAGCCTACAGCTACAGCTGTTGGTCGCGCTGCGTCCAAATGCCATAAAGAGGAGTTCCCCTCTGCGGAGATGGCTCCTCTGGCGGCCCCTGTTCCTCCCAAGGGGACTTCGGTCTCTATTGAGGAGGAGATGGACATCGAGGGTGCGGGCTCGGCAGAGGAAGACGATGTCATTCATCTTTCTCCTGGGCCAAGAGGGTTCACAAGGGGAAGATGGCCCTGAGACTGCTGAAGCTGAGGCTCAGCATGTGCTTTCTGGGATGCGGGTCCTCCGGGCCAACATCTCCCGGATTCTCAGGGCGGAGGTTTGCCCACCGCCTCAGCATCGTCGGCGCCTGAATCCACCATCCTTCTGGGTTCCCTGGTGGCTCCTCGGGCTTCCGTTCGCTCAGATCGGTCTCTGCCAGAAGGCAATATCATGTCTTCGGTTCTGGCCACGGCCCGGGCTCCGGTTTTAGAGAAGGACTCCTTCTCTACCCGTGCTCTCGGGTTTGTCGGTCTGCAGCTCAGTGTTGGTGAATTGTCGGAGGCTTCAGCTTCCGACTATGCCACACATGATGGGCAGCTGGCCTCTCAACCAGCACAGCTGGAGTTGAGACAGCTGGCTGCCTGGCCCGGCAAATCAGTGGACCAGGTGGTGCTCGATCCCAAAGAGCACCACAGGATGGAGAGAATGTTGCACCTCTCCATCCAAGTTCTGTCATACATAGACTTCCTGACAGTTTGTCTATACAGGGTATCCGATTTGCCTGAGTGTCGGTTATCCGAGACAGAACAGCCGACATACAGGACACGGCAGCCTTGCAGGTTCTCTGCTCGTCAATGCCGTGTTGGCTAGGCAGTTTTCAGTTCTGAAATTCCGCCCAGTCCAGTAACCCTACCGTTTCCGCTTGTTGAATGCCCCCTTCTAGGGCTCTACCCTGTTCAGGGGAGCTCTTCCTTGGGTTCAGAAGGATATGAAGGAGGACTCGGTCGCCTCAGCACTTCTGGTGAAGAGGTTTCAGGCTGAGAAGGCCAGTGCCTCGCAGGGGTCAGTGCCTCCTAAGAAGAAGGCGAAGTCTTCGGCTGCTCAGTTTTCTGCACAGCCCAAGTCCCAACCTCACTTCAACGGCAACAAGGGGAAGGGTAGGAAGGGTAAGAAACCTCCTGGGGGCAAGAAGAAGGGTTCCTGACTATTTCTGCTTCTTGGCCGCGAAAGGCGAAGGTTATGGCCGCGTGGACGGTGGTTCTCCTTTCCCGGGCTCATGTCCTTCTCCTGCAGGCTCAGGCTCCGGGTGGGCAGACGATTCTCTGGTCTGGCAGGGGCTCGATCTGCCCCATCCGGAACTCCCTGTGGGCGGACGTCTCTCTGCTTTCCTTTCCTAGTG